GAAATTTAGTCAAGGAACGCTACAATTTATTAGGTATATGACATTTTGTCTTTCTTTTGTCGATTGAATAAATGAACATTTTTGAATAATACGATATGTCGCATTTCAGCCAGTCATCCAAATCCGGATCGCGCTCCAAAGGACCGTTCATTTTGCTTGGTGTTCTTGTCGTGGTTTTTGTCATTACCACGATTGTATTTGCCACTTTGTATGCCATCGGCAAAACCAGTAAAGCAACAAGTCCAGGGAACGTAGTACGCCTGACAAGTACAACTAGCCAAACAACGACGCTCACCACCCTATACGGTACCGTTCTTGCACTGTAGAAAAAGGTTTTCTTTGAATTCTACGAAGGCTCTCTGAATTTGTCATTCTATGAAACTCTTTATAGGTTTCCGAGCTCTCGAATACCATCAAAAGCAATCAAGAAAAGTTCAAAATTCCGCAAAATCTAGTAGAGGTTTCCGGTCGCTATCTAACAAAACATTTGAACATCTGCCAGGTTTTACTAAACCTCTTGCTATCTTACTTAAAGTCTGACAAAGATCAGAAGTCAGCATAGCCGCAACGTCTTCAAGCGTTCGCGTCTCTTGAAGTCAAAGTCATAAACTCAGTCATAGCCCGCGGGTGTTGAATTCAGCAAGTTTTCAAGTCTGTTAAATGCAGAATCATAAAGTCAGCCAAAATCTTCTAGTCTTCGAGCGACTTATAAACTGAGTCTCGGAGTCAGTCGGAGTCGTCACTTCATAAAGCTTTCATGTTTGTTGAAGTTAAGGTTTTTATTGATATATTTTCTGATGTTTGAAGGTTCTGGAGGTTAAAATCACGAAGAAAGTTCTAATCTTCAAGCCGCAAAGTCTTCATGTCTGTTACGGCTGGAAACTGTGTCGATATTTTATAATCAGAGTTTTGGAAATAGTAATGTGCTTAAGTGTGCAAATCTTTTGAAGTTAGATTGTTGAATGGAGTCGAAGTTTTTGTGTTATAAACGGTTTATGAGCGTCATTCTTAGTTTCTTGGATACAGTCAAAGTTTTAGACTGTCCAAGTCTAAGGAATATATGTTGTGGTTAGTTTAAATGCTGGACTCTTTGATTTGATTAAAATTATACGACAAGATCGTGAGAATAAAAGTGAACATATTCGAATTCTATTTGAGTTTTCCATCATACTTAATGGATTTCCGAGTTATTTTGCAGAAACAATATTCATTTTCCAGAAAATACTTCTACCATTTACTATCCCCGAAAAGCCAAAAAAGTTTTCGATAAAACAATACAGAAAACCTAAAGGTATCCGAGGATACGCATAGAATTTCCGTGAAGATTTTTAAGTCAACAGCGATTTCGGAGGAAATCTTTCGATTCTAGGAAATACCCAACGGTTTTCGAGAGTTTTGTTGAGGACTTCTGGATTCGATCTCCTGAAAACCCAGAACGTATTTTCAGAAAGAAAACATCCATCCAGATACCTTTCCGAGTACGGTTATGAGTTTTCAAAGGTTTTCGAGAAGGTATTGGTTTCCGAAACAACGCTTTTCTTTTAGAGTGTAGGGACCCCAAAAAGTATTTTGAAAATAAAAGCAACAATAACTAAAAGTTTTCTAAATCTGTCCGCTGCTAGAAAGTTGTAACCATTCCTTTTGTGCACTCACATTGAATCAGAATCATTTTTGTCACAAGTTCTTGAGTTAATGAAAGTTGGATAACTTTATGCGAAAGCATTACGTTCTAAACCTTCCACACTCACCAACCGCATGATGCGTCATAAACAACATTTCTAAGAAACACGTGTATTTTGCTTTATTTCTGTTTATACAAGACTGAAGGGTCGCAATATATAGGAGTTGCCACAATAATCACAACGTCTGTTCAAATTGAGTTGCTTGCTGGCACTCGGGCGACTGACCAGTTGAGCAAAGAAAAGTCTATATAGCTGTATGCATTTAAGTATAAGCTATCATATACGGAATCAGAGTTAGTTAATGCGTCTGTTAATTTCGAACAGAAAAAATATTTTTGAAAACTGTTGATTTTTGCCTGAGCACGTCAAGAACACCTCTTTTCGCGGACCGAAATTTTCGGATTTTTCATTTTTAATGTTTTTGATTAGTATATAGTCTGAATTGGTCTTCATCTACTGGGCACATTTTGGAATTCGAAATATGTCTTTAAACATCAGAAACTCCGAAAAGAGCGAAAATTGGTATTGTTTTCCATCTTACTGGAAGCCAACTTTTCGTGGAAAAGTGTCGAATTGCTCCCATCTCTTGAACACATCTGGTCCGCTGGAGCTGGAACTTTTTTCACAGGTATTAGAGACGGTTTGACAGGAGAATTTCTTTGTTGCAAAAAATATTGCTCTCTTGATTTTTGGTAGATTTTACAAAATTTGCCGTAATTGAAATGTAAGCATTTTTTATGGTTCATTTTGTATTTTGTCTTTTTGATTTGAAGACAAACAGGATAAAAAAAAGAAACAATCCTCTCCCTGTCAAACAGTGTCTAGTACCTGTAAAAAAATTTTCAGTTTGATCCAACGCGGTATCGTGAAGAAATGAGGGCAAAAAGTAGGGTCATTTTTGGATCTTGTGATGTCCATATCTCATAGAAGAAAGTATTGTGCAAAATTGAGCCTAGTATAACTTTTGATCTATGGACCAACACCTATCTGGTCTGAGAGTTTCAAAATTTTCTGATGAGTTCATTGCCCTGGAACATCGGAAATGGATGGCTTTTAAAAGAACGAAATCGTATTTTCGTTATACTCGTACAAAATTAACATTAGCATAGCCCGAAAGTTGAATAAAACATAGTGGAATTTGATCAGTATTTATTTTGTAGCATTGCTACTAGTGTTTTGCGTGATCAAATCGTCGTGACTGAAGAAAATAAAGATTGTTGGATCAT